ATTTGCTGGTAACAAAAGACAATTCACAGAGCGCGGCGCGGTGGGCGAGGGCCTTGGCAGAGGGAGAGAGCGGGACGGGAAGACACTTCACCCAGACGAGGACAAAAGACCGGCGGAAACGGGTTGAGGGACCGGACAGGACGGAGGAAAGAGAAGCGCCGAATGCGGATCCCGGGCGCCATTGCTGCTTCTGCTCGGCGAGAGAGGAGAAAAAAGGAGGTGCCACAGGTGACTCGCACAGTTTCTAAATAACAGGGTTATTTTTCTTTTGCCTGATGTTTGGATTTTATTTCTACCCCACGTTTTGGTTGTATTCTCTCCTCCACCTCCCGCTACTCCTCCCCTTTATTGTCCTCCTCACCTGTTGCCCCACTTTTCTTTTTCTCATCCTTTGCTGCCCCCCCCCCCCGGCCGTCCCATCTGTTCATTCTCCAAAGAGCGGTTAGATGACTTCTAGTGACCGTCTTATAAAGCAAATCACCCTCCTCCCTGACCCTCGGGGGGATTGAGGACACTGCGTCCCTTTTCTCTGTTTTTTTGCCTCCCCCTGATCCACTGGGAAAAATGGTAAAGACGATTTTTTCACCCCCCGGTTTGTTTCGTTGCCTCCGCCCCCCCCCCCCACCCAGTGCTACAGGGAACGCGTCGTCTCCGCTTTGATTCGCCTTCATTGGCGGTGCCTCTCCATTCTTCATCCGAACCCTCCAATTTTCATGCTCACATCCTTCTGCGCTCTCGATCACTTAATCAGCGGTCTCTTCTCCTCGTCTTACTCACCCTTTTTGTCTCCCCTGCGATGTGCATTGGTGTCGGGGTGCAGGTTGGTTGGCTGTCTGCGCTTAGATGCCTTCAGCCATGCGTTTGAGTCACATGCCACCTTGCGCGCACCTTTTGGTCAGTCGGAATACTTTACCAAGATTTGACTTTGGAGCGCCAAGTGAGGACGCGGCTGGACGAGACAAAAACTAGAGGATAATATTTTATAAAAGAAATACATTATTATTAGTCTACTGAACAAGTAGATTCTTTGTAACCTGATGGCGAGTTTGTGTTCTCACTATAAGACGGCGCCTGCACTCAGCTGACCAAGTGGTTTCTAAGGGAACATCCTTACCAATGAAAATCGGTCTCTTTATAGTTCTGAATCAGAGCCTTCATTGTTTAGGACAAGTTGAAATATCAACCCTCTGTAAGACAGACATGACGCCGACTTGGATTCACACAAATATTAAGAGTATGAAATAAAGTGCGTTACTTCCCCTCGGTTTACAGCTTCCGTGTGTGTGTGTATACACACACATAGAAAGCAATAGAGAGCAGCTCGTCCATGTCGAGACACAAATGACAGGCCATGACAGGCCATGAGGCTATTTAGTTTGAAGAAAAGAACAAGTCCAGACCTGTTGTGTAGGGAAAGTCACCTTAAAGGACTTCTGCTGTGATGTGGCGCTACATAAAAAATATAATTAAACAAACTTGACCTTTAAAGGGGGGCAAGCGCCGCCTAATATAATGGTAGGGCAAACATCGGAGTTAATGATGGGCTGTAAACATCTCAGTAATAACATGGGATTAACGCAGCAAATTTAGCGTACAGCGTTTGAAGCTTGACCCATAAGACGGGGGTCCGGCGTCCAACAATGAATTGCTTAGCAAACCTCCCAATAACATCTTAAAAATGATTGAGGAATCCTGCTGCCCTGCATTAGAGCACGACCAACCATACTGTGATCAACACAAAGCCTCAGTTTCAACGGAGTAACAATGAATACGGGCTAAAATATGCAATTCAATCGCTGGTTATTTTGTTCAGAACTAAATTGAGTTATCACAAGGAAACACCATGACCTCCATTGGCGATGGAAAATACATTTTTACGAGGTGAAATGAGTTGCAAAAATGACTCGGGACTCAACAACGAGAAGAACCGGGGGGAGAAAAACACAACAACCTTTAAAAACGACCTCATCCTGCAAGGGCCACTTTGTGGAGAGACTACCAAAATCAGACGACACCCAGCTCCCTTAAGGCCAAAGGCTGGAGGAAGGTCTCCTTAAAAGCGTCTCCTCTGCTCTGAGGGTGGCTGTTCTTTGGGGCGGGGTTAGCTTCAAAGATAGGAAGTCTACGGTAAAGCGCCATGGTGACCCTGGAGGTGTTACCCTCCACTTAGCCAACAAAATCCCATCAAATACAAAGAGCCGTGGATGACGGGGACAAAAAATAAATAAATAAATAAAAACAGACTCATTCGAGTTGGGAATGTGAGCAGATCTGCCCGCAAGTCAAGTGCGTATATGTATTCATAGCACAAGAAACAGTAATTGTAAAGAGCCCTCAGCATCGGGGCGTCTGGTCCTGCTCGACCGGTCATTCTGTCCGCGACGTCCCCCCAGCAACAGCAGCAGCAGCTTTCCATTAGCGTCGGGAGTGTGCTGGAGCGGAGATAAGGCGGGCGCTAAAGCATGTCTGGGCGCGGTGAAGGAGGAGAGACGGGGGTGGGGGGGGGGGGACCAGGCAGCGGTCAGCGTGTAAAACAAACTCTCCAGCTTCACCACGACTACACCTGGAAGCCCTGCGCCGCTCCTATCTGCAGCTCCAGGGAACTCTCAAGGTGCAATTTACTGCTCGCGCCGCACTGATAACACCGTCTCCCGGGCCGCGGGGAGAGAGTAATGGGCCGGGGTAGGAGAGACAGAGAGATGGAAGGACAGGAGTGGGTGAGAAGATGGGAGGAGAGCGGAGAGAGTAAAATGGGTAGGAGGAGGAGGATAAAGGATGTAAACGGTGGAGGGAGGAGGAGGAGGATAAAGGATGTAAAAGGTGGAGGGAGGAGGAGGAGGATAAAGGATGTAAAAGGTGGAGGGAGGAGGATGATAAAGGTGGAGGGAGGAGGATGATAAAGGATGTAAAAGGTGGAGGGAGGAGGAGGAGGATAAAGGATGTAAAAGGTGGAGGGAGGAGGATGATAAAGGTGGAGGGAGGAGGAGGATAAAGGATGTAAAAAGGTGGAAGGAGGAGGATGTAAAAGGATGTAAAAAGGTGGAAGGAGGAGGAGGAGGATAAAGGATGTAAAAAGGTGGAAGGAGGAGGATAAAGGATGTAAAAAGGTGGAAGGAGGAGGATAAAGGATGTAAAAAGGTGGAAGGAGGAGGAGGAGGATAAAGGATGTTAAAGGTGGGAGGAGGAGGAGGATAAAGGATGTAAAAGGTGGGAGGAGGAGGAGGATAAAGGATGTAAAAGGTGGGAGGAGGAGGAGGATAAATTATGTAAAAGGTGGAAGGAGGAGGAGGATAAAGGATGTAAAAGGTGGGAGGAGGAGGAGGATAAAGGATGTAAAAGGTGGGAGGAGGAGGAGGATAAATTATGTAAAAGGTGGAAGGAGGAGGAGGATAAAGGATGTAAAAGGTGGGAGGAGGAGGATAAAGGATGTAAAAGGTGGGAGGAGGAGGAGGATAAAGGATGTAAAAGGTGGGAGGAGGAGGGGGAAGGCAGAAGCAGTATCGCTTCATGGAAAGTACAAATGTAATCCCAAGGCCCAATTAGTGTCAGTGCGCAACGCTGCAAGCTGGGATCAAACCGCCGGACTGATCAGGACTGATCCACCCTGTCGCTCACACAACGTGCCGGAGGCCTTTTGAACCCAGGGGTCATACTTCGGATTCATAGAACCGGCTTTGCAGCGAGTACCGTCACGGCCTTTTCCTCAGGCAGCGGCAAGCACAGCGGAGACGCCGCCGTTATTCCGGTGCTGAGAGGGATCGTAGCTTTGTTTCTGAGCTTTGTTCACTGTGCTCACTGCTGGTGAATGCAATTGCTACATGTGGTATGACACACACTTTTTTTCCAATTTTTTAAATATAAATTTAAAAAAAAAAAAAACTTTGACGACTACTGAGTGTGGGTTTTACAGCTGCCAGAGGAGCACATCTCCTTCACCGTTTGGAAAAGGTCAAAACAATCGCAATTCTCTCTCAAAGCATTGTGGGTTTGGGTGGATGTTTGCAACACAAGTGGTACTCATTTTAAAATCAAAGAGCTACTAGAATGTCCTGGCCACCCTTGACACATGACGGTTATTTGTTTTCCACTGTAGCCAATCAACTAGAGGCTGGCCGCCTGTTGCCATCTTACCCATAGATCCAATAGGTGCAAGGGCAATGAATGCAAGGCATATATTTAAAGAAGAAAAAAAGGAATTTTAGATCAATAAAAAAATATTTTTTTATTGAGATATTTCTTTTATTTTAAGCCTAAATGGAATTAGTGCCATTGTGGGTGCTCATCGGGGACTCTGGACTAGTACTTTGTATTTAATGACGGCCTCAAGGTGAGAAAGTTCCCTCACAGCTGTGAGCCGATCCATTAATGGTGGTGGAGGTGTAGTTCTACTTTGGTTAGAACAATGGAAACCGTCTCCAACAGGATGTCATTTCCCTCACATCTCTTGCGGCTGCCCTTCTCCGGGGCGGACTGTCCATGTGCGCTAAACAATCGGTTTGATCGGCTCAATTGATCTATTGCCGTACTAGCTAGAATAGTCTAGCTGTGACTTCTAGAAGACAAAAAACGCTCCGTGATTAGAGATCTTTTTTCCTCATTAACCGTATCAGAGATTGGTCACTGCCATTGTGCCTGCTGGTGTTTTGAAGTTGAATATCATAACAATTATTCACATTTCTAAGGCATTGAAAATGACCATTGCTCATAGTTACGACCGACTCCAGCTTGTGAATGTGACTGTTAATGTGATGCATGAAAAAGAGGATATTTATCCAGATGATTATCCTTGGAAAGCATTGCTAACTCTGTTAACGGAGCAGAAAATACTTTATTCATACTTTATATCAGGTTCATATCATGCAAATATAGTTTGGCCTAAGTCAACCCTTATTGTAACCGGTTTGTCATTTGAAAGTGACAGACTACCTTTCAGATGAAATCACTCGGTTGATGTTAATAAAGGCGTGTGTGTGTGTGTGTGTGTGTGTGTGAGTGTGTACCAGTTGTTTGGCGTTCTCGGCTTCCTGACGTTTTTGTTGTCTCTCCCAGGTCATGGCGTTAGTCATCTCCTTCCTAGCCGCCTCCCTCTCCCTTTGTGCCGCTCTGGCCCATTCCTCCTTCAGGATGGTCTGCTGGCGTTCATACCTGTCACACACACACACACACACACAATCATGCTTCCTCTCCTTGGACACCTTTGATAATGCGATTACTCTAAACAGTTATTTCCACTAGAGGGCAGCATATACCAGTTTGTATCAGGCCAGTCTCAGTTGTAGTTCAGTTGAGGTCTTTAAAAAAACAAGATTACGAATTAAGAAAACGTAAAGATGGCTGCAATATGTTAGCATCGGGTTTGATCTACAGCAGTGACACCGAGGTTATCCAGCTAAACATTTTACTACTCGTCTTTGTTTTCAACCAGTATCATAAAATCAATTCATCTGTCTGTGCACAGCGGTTGGTATGAAAAGAATGTGAATTGTGAACCTTTCTGAGAAACAAGTTGACTTGTTTCTCAGAAAGGTTCACAATGCTGCACCTTGACGTGCTGCACCTAAATGGAGTTAGCTTGACTGAGCATTTTTAAAAATTAAAAAACAATAGAGTTCAATTCAGTTGTTTGTTTTTGTTCAAACAAGATGAACAAAACTAAAATATAATAGTTTAAAAAAGGGCAGTACAGACTGGCTTCACATTTGAAAAGATTATTCTTTTTCCATGTTTACTCATCCTCTGTAATCTCAGAACAATATTATTAGAATATTTCAAGAATTGCATTTGAGCGACGGCTGATTGTTTCTGATTTCCAGGGATGGTCAAAAAGTCCAAAATTACTGAAAAAAAGATGGATGTTTTCATCTTCAAAAGAAGTCAGTCAGAGACGCACATTGAACACGACGTAGACGTTTCTCTACCTCAATATTGAAAGTTAAGGCCGGCGCATGCGTCTGCGTCGTTGCGTCGACGCAAACGTTTCAATTCATGCTTCTAAAAGTCTTGCGTGTGTTGCAGAGCAATTCACCGCCGGAACAACAGGAGGAGTGACGTGTTTTGTTGGAGACGACCTGGAGAGTCACGTCTATTTATTTATCATAGACTTTATTGCCCCGTGCATCGACACTGCTGCTTTTCATCGCGGACACATTTGTCCCGTATTTTCCTCCACAACTTTGTGCACCTCTCGAACCGGCAAACCGCCGTTTGCGGCGATCTCCCTCCGTGAATCCAACCCGCTTCTGCAACCCGCCAATGACGGCTTGTAGAAGCGGTCATATTTACGCATTTCTCCTGACAAAAGTTCTTCAATCTGATCCGCTCTCTCGTAAACATTCTTCCTTTTAATAATGGCGGTATCGGGCTATGAAAGCAGACATGTGAGACTCCGTAAAGGACGTAGTTAGCGGACCAAACGCAGCCTGGTGCGCTGCGGGAGGCTTGCGTTAGAAAAATGGCTCGACACACGCAAGGACGCAAGGAGGTGTGAAAAGACACGCAAGGGACACGCAAGGGGGTCTTGCGTCTGCGTCGCTCTGGAAAACGCAGAAGCATAAACTAGGCTTTACTTGTATTATCACTTGAATGTTTTTCCAACAGCTTTCCTTCAACCTACTTCTTCTGTTCTTCCTTAGCGTAGGAGGCTGGTTTGCTAGGGCCGGACTGGGTCCCGGGTTGGGGCTGGGGGCCCTGCTGGGGTGGGGGGCCGGAGGTGTTACTGCGTGGGGCACCTGGACACAGAAAAATAGAGGAGATAACATTTATAAGAAGCAGGGGCTGAATTACAATCAAAGACTGATTAGAAGGATAAGGCCTACATTTTGATTAAATCAGATATAAAACCATAAAAAAGGGTTTGTCAGAGTAGAAAAGCTACGATATGCCTTATGCAACAGTTCACTAACGGTGAAGTTACACTTTTATTTCTAAATGAGGAATTTAGGAGGCCACATTAAGAGTTTTTTTTGTTTTGTTTCCTTACCAGAGAACACACCTGCGAGCTCTTGACAATACTTAAACCGCTCATGAAGAGATCAGTTTATTCAGAAACGCGTGCAGTGAGGGGAACACGATCGGGGGGCGTGATACCTGTGTCTTTCTGGGGGCTCGAGGCTGGCGAGGATGTGCGTTCTGGAGCAATGTTTGCCACTCCTCTCATCCTCTGGAGAACATCTTCAGACAGCTGGCGAGGGATAAAAAGAACACTTGGAAAGACGGCGGAGCTAAAATACACAGAATCAGCTTGTTTGTTTTTTTCTTGTTTGCTTTAGAACAAATGAGAAGCAATTCTGCCATTTCCTATAAACGTATCAGTTTAGCATGCACAGTACATAAATGTTGTGTGTGTGTGTGTGTGTGTGTGTGTGTGTGTGCCTTTGTGTCCAGGGAAATGGCAAACATAGTAAAACCACAGCAGGCAGCAGCCATTGACTCACACTTGTATGACTCACAAGACGTGAATGTGCGGGCAGGGCTGTGAGGTCAGGCAATCTGTAAGGCCCATCGTACTTTCAAAGACATTTTTTTTACGAATGTTCTCACAATCACTGCAATGCTCGGAAGTATCAGAAAAGCCGATAAACCTGTTTATCCATAATAGTCCGGTATACATTACCTGCTAACATACGAGTGTTCTGTTTTTAAAGTTTCCTTCCAACCCCATTGGATATTTGGAGATTACATCCCAAAATTCTTGCATGTGGGTATTTTACATATGGGGCTCATATTTCATTTTGAAAGGAGCACATAACTAAAGTAACACCAAAGCTGGTGAAGAGCACTTCTTAAATGATCACTGGTGGAAAAAAGTATATTGTATTTTCTTGGCACTTGAAGTTGTCTTTTAATACTTTTTGCAATTTACAACAAATCAGCTCAAAAACTGTTAATGCAATATTTAAACATGAATTAGTTATTTTTTCCCCGCTACATACAACGTTACATTCGCATTGCTTTTTCCGACGTTTACAATCGCACTCGAAGGCGGCAGCAGAGCGAAGCAGGGAACAACACGCCAATCTTCATAGGAAATTCGCCAATTTGTAGCTCCTTTAGTTAAGGCACATAGCTTCACAGTTAAGCCCACGTATTAATATTTCCCTCAGTTGACAATGCATCTACCGTGCAATTTAGATGTACCATATTAATAATAACAAGCGTTAACGATTTACTCGTCTCTTGACAACGCGGAACGTTGTCTTAAAACCTTGGTAGAAAACGCTGGAGAGCAGCTAGTACATTGCCAAAAATGTGCGAGTTCTTATTTATTTACACATCCTAAGCAGATAAATTATAGGCCGAATTTACCAGTAAACCCTGGAGGTTTCTCAAATACGTTGGTTATGCGCTAGTCGTTTTCCCTTCCCGATAAACAAGGTACACCTCAACCATCGGCTTATTACGACTGAAGTTTGGCGTGAGTGAAACCGGGGAATGAGTCAGGTCGTAAGTCACATCAACATGCTCCAGCCTCTGCATCCTCTCACATCCTTCCCACTTCAACAGCCACTACACGGGTTGTAGACCTAAAGTTGAATTACCGGTCAGTCGACGTTGCGGCGTTATTCTCGTGTAACAGTCCATGGAGGCAACATGCTAACGGCTAGTTAGCGCTAACACTGAAGTACTGTTAGCGGGGCTCATCAAACGCTAGCTAGATTAGCATTACCTTGACTCCACGTAGAATCCTGACTCGGTCCTCATCATCGACACCGAAAGACACTTTTCTGTTCGTACTCTCTCCCGACCCCATATCTTCCGGTGTTGGGGTGCAGCTTTGCGAACGACCTTGCGTACAATTAACTTAGTAACGTGAATTGATGTCCTGACCAATGACAAAATGTGTGACAGATGGGATCCCGGGTTGCCAGGTGTGTGTTATGTCATCCCCCTCTAACGTATGCGTGTAAAATCAGGAGTTGCTTTTGAGAGCAATTTATACATAATAAACGTAACTTGTATTATTCATAGCCACACAATTTGTATGTAAAAGTGTACAGATGGGTTTTGGTTGAATAGAAACATAAAAATACCGTTAGTTACCTATATTTATCTATTTAAAGGCCAATCTGGCAACCATAACCTTAAACTAAAAGCACACTTGAGTTTATAAACTTTCCAAAGCCAATCATGTACCACATGAACCATGGAAAACTGACAAATATATTAATATGGATACACAGGCATTATCATAACATGTCTTGAATCCAGCTGAACTGCCAGCATCAATGTTTACTAAACGTAAAGAAAGCACAAAGGAAAACAAACAACGTTCCAGAGATATTCAGTTGACTTCCAATGCACAGACAAATGAAAACATGAACCGTTGCATATCGGACAAAATAACGTTGAAAAAATTCCTGGTACGCTCATACTCAGCAGATAAAGATCGAGAGCTGTGACAGATTATTAAAAAAAAAGGAAGAGAACCGTAAGATACTGTAAATATTTCTTATGTGCTAAAATAACTGTTGTAGTCACAATTATGAAAAATTGTAATTTGAATCCAGAGGAATTCCCTGGCCCGTTACCAGTGATTTAATTACATCCCATTGTGCAGTGTGATCCAGGACTCCGGTGTGTGTGAATGCATGCTGAACGCTGGATAAAGCGGCTCTCTGAACACCGCCCTGAAAGTGTGCAGGTGCTCCCTGCGCCCTCTGACGTTGTGGAACATCAGCGTCCCTGCCTCGTAGTCCAGCGCTACCTCAACCCTCAGTGGATGATGGCTCATTTCCCCCAGAGCCACGTTGCAGGAGGACTGGCACACCGTCAGCTTGCCGTTTTTCCACTGCAGCCGCCAGGAAACGGAGTTGTGACCCAGACGACTGTGATCCCCGCGGCGAGGGATGCTCTTGTAACACACGCCCATCGACCACATGCTGCTGCCCCCCACCTCCACCACCCACACGTGCTCCCCCCCCGAGAACCCCTGGGTGCAGAGAATCTGGGGGGCGCTTGTGAAGCGCTCTGAGTGATCCGGGTACGTCTGCTTGACGGGGCTGTACTTGACCGTGCGCTGATCGCTGGAGACCAACAGGTTGGGGTGGGCGGTGCAGAGGTTGAAGGTGAGCTCCAGGGGGTTCAGGAGTATGTGGAGGGAATCCAGGTGGCGGGTCATCTCAGAGCGGAAGTCTTGGGTTTTGAGGCCCGCCTGGAGACGCTTGGGGTTGAGCGGTGCTTTCGAGGGGACGCCGGAGGGAAAGGCGCCTGTGGCAACTTCTCTCAGCTTAGGTTCGATCTGCATGAACCTGGAGAGCAGAATTTGCCTTTTTTTCACCAAGTTTATCAAATCTCTAAATTATGTTGACTCAGTTTGTACAGCTGATCATCATAGTACATGTGTTAACTAATATACTTATGCTGATGGCATCAATCAATATACGATGGGGCAATGTTATAAAAGAAAGTTAACAAATGTTCTTTTTCACACACGGGTATTATTAGTTTTACTGGACTTTTCGAGTAAGATTCTTTTTAAATATGTGAATTTACAGATTTCTGAAAACATCGATTTCGGCTGTACCTTTGCATGAAGGTGCACGTGTCCGTCTCGCTGAGGGCCTGCGTGGCACGTTGCTGGGCCTGCACTAACTGCTGCTGTTGCACTTCCAGAGCATCCAGTCCCACCTGCCAGCTTTTCCTGCGCATGTTCTTCTCCTCCTCCAACAGCAGACGCAGACAGTCCCTGTACCTGAACACAACAACGTGGAGTCAAAATAAGCGTGAAGCTTGGAGCTCTAGTTGGCAAAGATCATCACAACGATTTTCTGCAAAGGGATATTACGGATTGTTGATGGAGTTTTTATATGTGTTTCTCTACTAGCATTGTTTCTAGTCCAACTATGAAACTGTTTCCAACATTACGTCAAAAAGGCTTTTTTTTGTGATGAGCTTCAGTCAGACTCCGATTGGCACGGCTGTTTCAGACCTATTGGACTACTGATGGTACTGCGAGAGAATACTTAGGTCTGGAGTATATGAACTAAGAAGAAAAGAGAGAGGAATGTCCCTCAAAATAACTGGTATCTATTTATAGACGACTAGAAACCCAATTCTCAAATTCACAACATGTTATGAGACAAACTCATTATTATGCAATAACCAAGACCAAACATGATGGAGTAGTGGCTATTAGGATAAAGAGTGGGTAGCTTTTTCCCACTGGGTGGTCTCTGAGGCCCTAATTACTGTAGAAATTCCTGCTGGAATTTGTTAGGAGAAAAAAATAAATGTTTAGAATGGAAGACACTGACACACTCTAAAGGACAGTTCACACTCATGCGCCTCATTCAAAGCTGTCTAAGACCAGGCCTCATGCACATCAGCAGGTATTTTTCTTCTTTGACATGTGAGGAAATCAAACTTTAAACACTAAAAAGAACGTTTAATTCCAATGCTGCGCTTTTGTTATGAAGTCCTCTGGCATTCTAAAGACGGGCTGACAAACCGGATTCGTCTCGTGAAGTGAATTCCATGTGAGATCACTGCTTGAACCTGCTCCTCGAGCTTGAAATAAGAGCTGCTTCTGATGATGCACCTACTGTAAATCCCACAGTATTATTCTATAGTATACTATACTACATAAGAGAGGGAAAAAAGATTGCCAATGTGTTATTTACTTCTTTTTTCGCGTTGGAATCGATAAAGGCAGCATCAATAACAGCATGTGAGTTACCCGTCCACTAGAGCAGCCATACTCTCCATGACAGTGACCGCCTTGTTGGCCAGTTTGTTCCCGATGGCTTCAGCTGCTCCCTGCTCCTTCGCCGTCACCTGAAGGAGACTCTCGGTCATGTGCAGCCTCTGCGAAACCAGCTGCAAACACAGAAGGGACATTTTGTGATATTTGTCTTTTAAACTTCCCATGGTGTGAGTGAGAGTGAGCGGCCCTCTGTCTCTCTTCATAGCGCTGATGTCAACTGGAACAGGTTCCCTTCACCCTGTCACCATTTTTTACATTCCCATCATTCACTAGTTATAAAGCACAATGGCACTGTTCCAGACAGCTGCCAGCCACATTGTTTTACAGTTCTGAGAAAGTCTGCATGCACTTTCTGGAAAGAACAATTTGATCCAATGTCAAATTAAATAATGTTTCCTTTATTTATAAATCTGTTTACAGCACACATATTTTTCAAGTTGCCATATGGTGTGTGTTCACCTGACCTGGGAATTTTTTTTTCTTTTCCTAAAAGTTATTTTTTAGTAAATAATTTGAATATTTGACCGTTTTTTTCAGTTTTTCCCAGGCAAAAAGAAGCCCGGATGAGCGGACTGACCGTGCTGCGGTTCTCCAGCGCGCGCCTCATCTCCTCCTCCGCCGCCTCGAGGGTGAGCACGTCGTGGTTGCAGTGGCGGCCCTCAGAGAAGCACACGCCGCACATCAGGCTCATGTCGTCGGAACAGAAGTACTCGATTGGACGCCGGTGGGTGGCGCAGCTCTTGGCGTCCCACTCCGTCTCCCGGCCGGAGCACGGCGCCTCCGCCGCGCTGTCGGGCTCGTCTGCGCGCGTCTCGGCGGCGGCGGCGGCGGCTCGGTAGCCCTCGATGATGCTGCAGAGCTTGAAGTTCCTCTTCAGGGTCTCCACGCCCTGGTACTCATCGCGACACTCCGGGCAGCGCGGAGGCGCGTCGTCCGTGGAGTCGGCGGTCATGCGGATGCAGGCCAGGCAGTAGTTGTGGCCGCAGGGGAGAACCACCGGGTCGGAGAAGAGCTGGAGGCAGATGGGGCAGCTCAGCTCGTGGGCCAGCAGCTCCTCGGGCTTGGACAACGACATGACGCGCGATGCTGATGTCCGACGCTTGGTTGTGTCTCTCACCGATTACTCTTCTTTCTTTTTTTTAACCTCAGCCTTCAGTCCCTCCTTCACACCGTCTTCCCCTCACAGGCTCAGCGAGGCGACAGGTGCGAGTCTACCAACAGGTAATACGTGTACAAAACAAACAAAGAAGTCAGGTGGCTGTAACCATCCTTTCGGATCGGTATGAGGCGCGTGCACAAACGTGTACGTGACGTTCCTCTCCAAGGTGAGAAGTCATCTGAGCTAACCCCAGGGGTTGCTGTTGGTGGTAAAAACATGCGACGCATGACAATAGTTGTGTGCGCTCAGAGAACATCTCCCCCGGGCAGGTGCTCACCTTGTTCCAGTCTTCTTTTTGAATTTTAACGCCCTATAGAGAAGCTGTTTACAACAAAATGCAAATTCCATTTGGTCCAGTGTGTGCGTCGCCAGCATGGTGTTTGCGCACGTGCTCGGATGCACTGTTGCGTAGATTGCGCGCGCAGAGCGTTCCTGTCGACTGTCAGCAATGCAGAATGGAAGGACCTCCGATCCTTTCAGTGTCGTTAGGGGGGGGGGGGGGGGCTTTCACTTGAGGCATCAAGGTCATCTTACCAACAAGAAGTCAAGTGGAGAAAAAAATAAAAAGCATTTCAGTGTATTCTATAATTAGACACACATCTGTTTCCAAAATAACTAGTGTACCGTATCCTATAGGTCACTGTCGGACAAAAAACATGACTCAAATGACCTCAGGAGCTTATTGAAGCATAGAATTTGTCCTGTGAAATAGATTTAAAAAAATGTTCACTCATTGACAGCCCATACATTTAAGGAGATTTTCATAAAAACACACTTAAAAAAAAACTGTCAAACATTTGCATGCAGATTCTCACATGTTTTTTTTTTTTTTAGAGGTCAATACATAAGTTGTAATACGTCAGATCTCACAATATTCCACTATAAAGTTTGTCAGCACATGGAAAAGTAAAGTTTTAAGCCAACATTGGCATGAGACTCGGACATAAAAAATGCATGGAGGACATTTGTTGGACGCAGAGGCTTGTGACGGTACCCCTAGATTTGGGTAAACTAAACCATTCAACGTCAATAACCACGACCATCACATCTGACCTATCCTCTCCTGGAATCTCAATCATCTCGCAGGAATGAAGAAGCCAGTATGTCATTTCTGGGGGTCACATGAAAATATAAATCGCTGCGTTTTTGTTCGCTTAAAGTTTCAAGACAACTTTCCCTGTGCACTCCAGATGTGGTGCATGCGGGTTGGGGAGGGTTTGAGCTGCTGCATTCTGGTCACTTGTTTAAGCACTTATGAGACACTTTGCCCACCTAAAGCTGTTTTGTTTTGGCATGATGCTTCTTGTTTTGCAGGTTTCCAGAGGCTTATTTCATGAGTTGATCTATGAGTGAGCAATGGGGCCCCCAAAGTTCGTGTGTGGCCAGAGCAGGGATTCTGATTGAGAGGTTGGAAGGATTGGTGTTGTGGGTCTAGTTGCCACACATAGTATCACATTGTGTGCAAAAATTTGTTTACAATTAGAATTTGTCTCGTATGTTTTTTTTTTCTTTGCAATAAAATGCTTTTAAATAATGAATACCGTGTTTTTAGATGTAAATAACTCTTACTTTGCACTCTGTGTTATGACAGTAATTGTTATGTACAACATATGTGGGCATAATTGTTATATCCCATGCTGGTGTTTTAAAGGGATGGACATGAGAAGTTTAAGGAAACATATTCATTCAGTCATACTTATTGGTAGTTTTTGTATCAAAACACAATTAAAAGAACAATATATTCATTTAGTAGTAATAGTATAATAATGTGATATTTTGAAAATGTGAGGGTTCACTATAGGGTACACTCTAATATGATCATTTCCCCCTTGAGTGACAGTGAAAATAATATGTCACTTCCAACTAGCTGTGTAATGGAAAATTAGCATCACTCACATAAAAAGAAAAACCTAATAGTTAATGTGGATCCTCTTTAATTTGTGTCTGTCAACGTATAACGCAGTGTAAACCCATGAATTTTCAAGCGTGTGTGCGCGCCATACGTTTGTGAGTGTGTGTGTGTGTATATATATATATATATATATATATATATATATATACATATATATATATATACATATATATATATACATATATAAGCTCCACATGTGATAACATTCTCCCATTTTTCTTTGTGGAAATATTTATGCCAAGTCCTCATTTGAGCGTGCAGTTCAAACAGACGGGGTCCGGTGTTCTTTCCTCTTTTTCCAAATGCAGTCAGCCTCCGGGGGGCCTTCCCAGACAAGACGGAGCATTGTGAGTGCGGGCCGCCCCTCCTCTCTTCCCTGCCCCAATATGCATGTGTTTATATCAAGGTCTGATATCCATTTTCCATCGCACACTCCTGTAGCTCGGAGTTATTTATTTTTTTGCAAACAGGACACAGTTTCAAGGGAGCCGAGTGATCCATCACAGGTGTCCCGTCGGCCACTGAGAGGACGCACGCTCTGATGATGGTTGAAGAGAAGGAGATGAATCAACGGGTTGGGAAGCAATCGGCACTCAGGAGCATGGCCGCTAACGTCCACCACTACTAAAAAGTACTGCATGAGAGCAGGATTGTTACTTTCTGATGTAAATATTTCTAGTCATTCAACACCGAACTGATTGTTCATGTTTATATTCATTTGATCATCGTGTGACTACATGCCCGGTTTTCTCAGAATTTGAGGGACTGTGATGCATATACTCCTGCAAACATTGTAACACATTTTGGTTCATTTTGATTTCCCCTCCTTCTGACAATGGTGAGCAAGGTATCCACGTTAACATCTGATTTGAGTGATTTTAATGTGGAATTGGGAAGGGGGATTGGTCAGACAAAGACAACAGTGGAGTGTTAAGGTTAGGAAAGAGTTGTTGACGTGTGTTCTGTTCTTGTGTTGCGTTTTACAGTACAGCTCTTCTTTTACAAGTATTTGACTGATTTAAAGTAGTAAAGCAGTTATTTTAAACACAGCCATGATGGTTTTCCAAGTCTGAACTAAGAATTCTTTGCCTAAACCTGCTTAAAACGGTGGCAGTTATCATCGTTTTGTTTACTATAAATAACGGTAACTTACCGTTAAGTGACATGTGAAAAGCTGTTTGACCATGTTGAGCCTGTTTGTGTGAACCCTGTGTAAAAACACTCATGTGCGTACCAACGACACAAGAGAGGCGCGTGCGTCAGCTCTGCAGATGAATTTGAAAGACTCCTGTGCCAAATGTTGAATGCATATTTAAGTGTAAGTTTTTGCTGCTCGCTGTTTTCCTGGCGGAGTCACCTGCCAGTGGCTTACATCAATCCAAAAAACAAACTATAAAAAGCACACGGATGTGCAACGTAAGGATTTAATCGTCCCTCAAGATATCAAAACAATTCAAAGACTCTTTGACATAACTTCCTCTTCATTTTCTATTTTTTGACTCAAATGTTTTAAATTTCTTTAAGCTTCCAATATGCCAGATTGAATATTATCAGTTTATTCTGCCCCCCTGTGGTATCAAACCATGCATCCTTGAAGCCTACAGAATGTGTTCCATCCTCGTTCCTCATCATTAAAAAACTGAGCCCCATTTTAAACTTCTTCTTTTTTTCTCCTTTTACCCAGCATTCACAAATCGGGCAACAGCCTCCCTCCTGGCCGACGCTGCTGCACGGCGAAGAACCTTTGTTTTCCCGATTGTTGCCAACCTTCTGGAAGCAATTGCCAGCCCCAGCGCCAGACCCGGGCACCAGCTGGAGTAAAGGTGAGTACCTTGGTCCCTCAGGAGGACGGTATCTCTGATACCTTGCATTGGACAAGAGTAAACCCTGCCAAACACCAATCCCTACTTGACCACGTAACTCAGCCACGTTGTGTAACAGAAGTGGAGACACAGATCATATGTTTCCAACGGCACAATGCATCTTCAAGAGGTAGAATCTTGATTTTATATATGTCTGCAGTCATAGAGTCCAGAGTGAACAGAAACCACCTTCAAATCAAGTGTTTCCTGCACCGTGCCAAGTTTCTGAGGAATCAAACTCAGCTGGTCTCTTTTCTGTGCAAGCTATGGACAGCTTGGGCAACAGATGTCCAACACATCTAGCAATATGAATGACTGAGCTATGGTGCCATGACGACCAACAAGAGGAATATTCCTAGCAGCTGATATCTTGAACCCATGAAATAGTATTAAGCAATAACTGTTGGTCACCTTGCTGCTAACAGTCCGACCAGACGGCAACCTCCGGTTCTGGAAAGTGAAGCCAAAGAGGAAGTTGCCTTTAACCTGCATTCTCTCCTTTGGCCATCAGGGGGCGCCTGCTCTGGTTCCAAAAAGAAGTCTGATTGCATGAAAATATACTGTACATGTCAATGCCCCTATTTCTCACTTGATTTATTACAGTACACATTGTAACATGAGTTTATGGTCGAAAGGGTTAGTTTCAAAATGAGCATGATGTTCATTTAGTAAATAACTCTCCAATTTGGAGTAAATTGGGCTTTTCCCCAGTTATGACAAATACTGATATTTGTTGAAATCAAAGATATAATCATTTACATTGTGTAAGCGCTCCAGCTCAATCTATGCTTGTTATGCTTAGAAATACTGTCCAGGGCTAGTTAAAGACATTATAAAGCATCTTGCATTTCGACATCAAAATCAGATCATCCTTATATGAAAAAAACGGTATCACAGTTTTATACAACCATTGAATCATTGACTCGATAATGAATTGACTCAGTGGAGCTATTTTCTAGTTCTGTGTCCTAACAGTGCCAGGTCAAAATGTTTTTGAACTGAAGTGTTCTCCACAAAACAATGGACTTTTCTTATGTCCGGGTGTGGCTGTGGGCCGTTTAGAGAGAAAGTCCACATAGGATCTGGACAGAGGCTTCTTCTACATGGAGCTCAGTGGATGAAAGTAACAAATTGTCCCAAAGGACTGCCTCTGTTCCACAGAACTCAATCTTTCCTTACTGCTGTGATTAGACCTCTTCCCTCTGGGTTTATTCTAAGAAACAGCCCCATATCTTTCCAATCATTTATTAAATATATTATGTTGTAAAGTATAGAACACCAAACATTTTGTTTCAGGCCATAATGTATTTTCATTTACTTTTTTAAGAAAGTTTTCCACAGAACAACGTCCATTCCCCCTCAATCTCTAACGATGGCAGATCTGCCACAACTGCAACGCTGTCATTTCTTTCTCAACTAAAGAAAGAGAAAAATGAACAACGAAAGAATTACTAGTGCTAACCATTACTCCATCTGCCTGGAATGCCGTGTGCTGAAGAATCATCACATTTCACTATTTATAAAGCAAAAATAGGTACCACGTGACTTTTCTCTAAACCAGGAACAAAAACATTTGTGGAGCTTCTTTTACAGATTGTTTTTCCCTGAAGTATCATGAAAGCAACCGATGATGTGCTGAGAGGGGAAGCAGGGGGGACAGAGAGCCAAGCAGCGAAACGGGGGGGATGGTAGCGACTCGCTTTGGAGGAAATCTGGAACCTATAAACTTGGCCAACTTCTATGACAAGAGACGTCACAACTGCTTGCTTTGGTTGGCTGTACGGCACACCTTTGTCTCCGCCTCGTCCCTTTGATCGGACCAATTGCTCAACGTTCGTTCTTCCTGTTGTCTTAAGCTCAGCTGTCCAAAAAGAGTCCTCCGGACCAATCACTGGCTCGGATGGGTGGGCAGCTGAAAATTCTGTGGTTCCCTCCCTTTAAAAAGTCAGATTCAGGTTGCAGTTGTCTCACATGCAGCTAAAGAAGCGGGACGTGAGAGCCGTCCGGTTTGCCGATGCCGTTCACCCTCACAGACGCCGTCGAAGAGGATCGTTCACCGTTTCTTTTTTTCACACGTGTGGAATAAGAAGCTCCGTGGCGATCGAAGGCTGGGCTGCTGATTACTCGCCTGTTTTGCTTGGCATGTTCAGCCGTAACAAAGCATAACGCCGGGAACTGTTGGAGAAGAAGAACAACACAGCACAAGGCCCCGGAGAAACAAGCAACGTCACAGGAGGAGTTCCTGAAGACGAACAGAAGAGAGTAAAGCTGCGCAGGAGAAGCAGAGGGGTAGTGGAGAGCTATATAGAAAAAAAGTAGTGGTATTCAGAGAAGGAGTCCAGGGTAGAGAGTCACATAAAGGAGAGAGGAGACAAAACGTGCCAAGCATGAGAGAGGAGGAGCAGTCTAACGAGGACCACCCTGAGGGAGGGGTGGTTTCCAGCGAGGAGAACACGGTAAGACCACCTTCAAACACCTGTCCTGTTGTCGTGGCCACGCCGGGGGTCACCGGGCGTAAACGGCACACGGGCTCCCATCCGGAGGATCACGTTACCACGGTTACTCCCACAACATCGGCACACAACGGCAAGACCAAGCCAGTGGAAGACATCCAGATCCACGCTCTGACTGGACCGAAAAGGCACAAAAGGAGTTCTCAGGATCGGTCGCCTTCCTCGGGCACTTCCCTTTCTCCCGGCCCCGATCCTAGTCCTGGAGATCTTGAGGACCCACACGGCCAGCGCGTGATCGCCAACATCCGGGAGCGCCAGCGGACACAATCCCTGAACGACGCCTTCGCGTCGTTGCGTAAAATAATCCCGACGCTCCCTTCTGACAAACTGAGCAAGATCCAGACCCTTAAGCTGGCGTCGCGCTACATTGACTTTCTGTACCAGGTTCTGCAGAACGACGAGATGGACACGAAGCTGGCTGGATGTAACTACCTGGCCCACGAGAGACTGAGCTACGCCTTCTCTGTGTGGAGGATGGAGGGGGCCTGGTCGACCATGTCTGCCGGTCACTAGCCCTGCCTCAAAGCCAAGGTTCGTCCTTTGACTGTTGTGGGGAATTCCACACAACGGGGACTTTTTCTTACTAGAGACAGAGGGTTGAAGCTAAATGTGAACTATACGTGCTCACGAGTCGACCATCTAACATCTCAATTTAGATCTCGGTCCGATTGCCTCCAGGATGCAAAGGCTATTTGATACTCAATCATGATCATTTTGACAACTTTGAGTTTTAATCGACTGACCACATTAGGAGATTTCTTCATTGCCGAGCAACATTTCAGATGGATTCTTAAAATTCTATTTTTTTGTTTTTGTTTTTGTTTTGCTTGCCAAAAGCAGCTATTGCTGCTCAGGGGAGACAATGACATTGCTCAAAAAACTATTCACAACAGGGACATTTGGCTCAGTGTGTGGTTCCTGTTGTTTTTTGTTTTTTCACAACACCATCTCTTCCTCATCTTCATAGGTATGGCCACTTTTGAACATCATTTAATACTTTTGTTTAACTTTATTTTCTGCATCTTGCTAGCAAGTGCATACGCAGCTGCAATACACACACAGAGTGATTCAAGTCTGGACTGGAAAGACAAATTGGATGTTCCAAGAGAGATTGGACCTCTGACTTTTCCGTCCCCTCTCAACCCCCCGCTTTGCCACGACTGACATATCATGAATATTGGCCACCCCAGAACACGAGCGACGGTGGAAAAAGTAAACACGGGCAGCCGTCGTCTTGACTTAAGTTTCTCCTCTTTGTACCCAAACTTAAGCCCCTTTGTTTCTTCTGCTGCCAAAAAAACTCTCCTCTTGAAATTCTTTCCTCTCGTTCTGGCCCAAATTTGCCTGCGTTGCACGAAGCCGTGATGCAGCTACAGCGAGCTGACGAGGAGGCGTAATGAAAACAAACTGCCTCGAAAAAGCCATGAATCACGCGTGTCACCATCAAAGGGGAGGCTGATGTGGCTCCCCGCTGGGCTCCCATAAACCACTGGAAGTGATGGAGGAGGTGAGAGCTGATTTATGCACGCACAGACACACGCACACACGCACACATGCATAGGTGAAGCTGTGCGGTTGAACCGACGCACAAAATAACAAGCACCTCCCTCCCTATGTTTGAAAAAGAAAAATAATTTATTCTAAAGTCAACATCCATAATCGTCAAATGAAATAAATAAAAACAATTTCAACACAGATTTTCCTCTTTACCTGCGAGGATTTGCCTTCATTTGTTGTAAACAACCAAATTGAATAGGAAGTTAAAGTTTTGTTTGTATTTGAAACAATCCCCTTTTTCCTTCACTGCCGGCATGTGTGAAGCCGGCATCGGCAGAATGTGCTGGAGGTGGCTAATGTTTCCAGCTCCAGACTAATAAAGTTCTTTTTTATAGTCGGCAGAGTTTGGTCCCCGGGGCCCAGCGTTCGTGGGCATGTCAGAAGACCCTTGACATTTTGAAATCATTCGCTTTTGGAGCAAAAGAGAAATGGAGAGCCTGCGCTTTTTGTGTATAAAGTAAAAGTGGCTGGCCAAAGGAATCATTTTTTCTTAATGATTAAATAAATATTGTGTTCAACTTGTGACACCTTGAAATTGTTGAATTCCATCTTGTTGATTTTCAGCGTTGTATGTCCAACATCCAGTGCTGATTATATCAGATGTGGCTTTTAAATGCCTGCCAGCAGTAACTATCTTTTTTTTCTGTCTTTCCAGCTGCTGAATAAAGTGACTGTGATCTTCCCTGTACATTTCTGCTCCATGCTCCCATTGCTGCCATCCCAGTCGCATGGACTTTGATGCAAATGGAATTTTAAGAGAAAAGGACAAATCATAATATTCAAGAGGCTTCTTTGTGAGGAGGGAAAAAAGACGACATTTCTGGACCGACTAAACAATCAAAGAGCTTTGACTGAGAATACGGAGAAATTGAAAATACAGGTCAAATTGGATCAGTTTCCTGCTTTTCCTTGTGGATGTTATTCTAAAAGAACTTCTATTATAGCTGTCACCACCAAACACTTAACCTGCACACAAAGCAACACTTCAATTGCAGACAATGATTGGCGCATTTGTCTCTTTTTCACCAGTTTAAAGACTTTTTTTTTTTTTTTGAAGGAGCATTTTTACTTGAAGTTTATATAACGTGGTGCTTTACAAAAAACGGATGCAGTGTGACTGTTATATAAAACAAGCAGAAAAATCCCTGGAGAATTACATGTAGTGATGCATACGGCATGTGAGTCAGTATTTGAATAAAACTGTCTTCCAACTATTTACGAGATTCTTGTTGTTTTGGTAAAAGCGGCCGATGATCGGTGCAGAGACTCATACTGGCACCACACCCGCTTTGTCTCCTGTCTCTCTTGTTAAACTGCCTCTCTTGTTTTCCCTTCCTTCCTCCTTCCCCCGGCCTTTTTTTTTTTTTTTTTAATGAGGTCTGTGTGCCTTTGCCTGGTCAGTCGGGAACACTTAATTCTCTCAAAAAGAACACGTTAATGTGCAATTAAGGGGCTCTGGGAATATTTATGGCCTGTTGGAGGCCCGAATTGTGATTTGTAGCTTGATCCTTTCTGATACGCCACAGCGGCCTGCGTGTTTGCTGTTAGTCCTCCTGATGCTTCAGCAAGAGGCTGTTAAAAGCTTTCGCACAATGGTAACCTGTGAGAACCTGTGAGAGTCAACGGTAAGGCGTAACTGCTTTGATCGATGTCAACGGATAGTCACACAGCTATTATGGGAACTCATACAATGAAAACTCTTCAGTTTGCTCGTCCGTTCATATAGCTGGTATTTATTTTAAATATCAGTATAAGCAAATTAATACCAGCCTGAATTGAGTTCTTAAGTTCTTAAGGAGAGGCATATAGTTCTACAATACTTTGGCTCAAATAGGATTACCACTGGTGCTCACGTCTTCCTATAAAACACTGCAGCGTGCTTTGAAAAAACAACTGGTTCGTTGTTTAGTGCAGGATGTTCAATAAATGGGCAAACTCACGCAAAACGCTGATGCAACTAGTTCTCTGAGGCTCTGCTCGCACGCAGAGGAGTTTCCAGAGGATCGGATTACCGCTCTCCCCTTTGAGCGGAGCGGTGATGGAAGTCCATTGGAATTAATGAAATGATGAGGATTGTTCCAGGAATCAGGTGCAACACAGCAAATAGGAGAGTGAGGTGTCTAATCCATCACAAGAAGTGGGTGTTGAGGGTTATTTTTAAATAATCTTAAATTCTGTTGTTTAGTTTAGTATCACTGCTGTTTTATTCTGAGGAATAATATTCTTCTTCACGGAAACTATTGTTGTACAGAACAAACTTTCAACAAAACAGTTCTTCTTGCCCGATATACTACATATAATATTGGCACAGTGTTTTTTTGCCTCTTAACCAATAGATCAATCATTCTAACCTCTGCTGGGTCCGTGCGTGTTTCCAGCAGCTCACTGCTCACAGCTGGGTTCAATGGCACCAGTTAATGGGAGACGCCCCAAGTGAGAAAAAACTCTACCAATACATGAACTAATACATATTATGCTATTACAAACTACAGTTAAATACTTAACTAAAATGTGTGTTCAAATATCGAATCGACAACAGAGCACAACATTTGGATTTAATGAATGACGGCTCAGGGTAAAAAATGCTATTATTAATTTTTACTTTTCATGCGTTATTATAGGAGTTTCTATGTTCTGTTAACAACATAAATGTCTGATTAGTTCTGTTTTAGTTATAATATGCATTAATATGGCAGGGGCGGCACGGTGGCGTGGTGGTTAGCACTGTTGCCTCACAGCAAGAAGGTCCTGGGTTCGATTCCGCCCAGTGGCCTTTCTGTGTGGAGTCTGCATGTTCTCCCAGCCTGTAGAAGTGTGAATGGTTGTGTGTCTCTGTGTAGCCCTGTGATTGGCTGGCGACCAATCCAGGATGTACCCTGTCTATCGCCCGAAGTTGGCTGGGATGGACTCCAGCCCCCCCGCGACCCTGTGTGCAGGATAAGCGGTTTGACAATGGATGGATGGATTAATATGGCATTAAAATGGGAGATATCTCTGGTCTCAATACCAAATTGACACGTCAAAGGGATGGTAAACGCCAAATTAAACGTACATCTTGTATCAATGTAAATGATTTTTGCGTGGGCTGCCTGGCGTTGGGGGATGTCGGCCTTCTCTCTAATATAATGGAACCAGACGACTCTCTGCTTGGCAAAGCGCAAAAGTGCATTTGTGATTGCTGAGATCAAGGTCTGTGGATTATCCTGAGTAGCCGGGTCATTACTGAGGAAAGATGTAACACGAGCCAAGGACCCCAAAGAAACACAAGACTTTCAACCACCACAGTGTTCCAAATATTTGCTCAGGTTATTATGGTATTGTGATGTTTGTGGCAATGCTCATTTCCCAGAAGTATGTGAAATGACCACGAGAAAGTGCTGAAGTTAGATTATTGTATAGCTGCTATTGGGAAACTGTCAATCTCGTTTATTTGTTGGTGATGTTGTGGCAGAAGGCAAAAATAGACTTATACTGGAAATGACCATTTTAATCAAGAGGAAAGGACAAAAATAACAGTACAAAATGGACAATCTTTCTATACATACACGTGGTAGGAAATGTGAAGAAAAATAAAACAGACAGGTAAATAATAAAGATAGACATGAAAAGAAAGATGTCAAAGTCACATTAATAGATACCACATAGTTACTGTAAGTCCAGTTAGTTAAGAGTTACCAATACAGATACTACTGCTGAATGTATCAAGGCACATGTGTGACACGTGCACTTTGGTCATGGAGTTCATATTTACAGAGTCTTTCTTTAAGAAGAAGTTACATTTGACATCGGTAACTGTGGGAATTAAGAGTTGAGGCAATACTGGCCTCTCCATAAGACGTTAGAACAGCCACTGGAATATAACAGCTCATTTACAGTATTTGACGGGCCAACAAATACACAGACCAACGCTTTTAAACGCACGCACACAACACACGTTACATATGCGGGGAGAACGCAGTCGCCTCTCGCACACGCGCGCTCCTTGACACATTGGACACCGCGGACATGGACTCCGTAGACAACGGGTGCACCCGATGGGCACGCTGGCATATTGTTGCAACGCCGTCACTAGCAACACTATTTACAACAGCGAAAGCGAGACACGCTTTTCAGTTACACCGATTACAGAACGCTAATCTAACATTTTCCAAATGATTCCCACTGGAATGAGGCAGTAGTACAACAGCAGTGGGACTCCTGCAAAGGCAAAGTCTCTAGCTCGACTGTCATTTGGCTTAATATACAAGGCCTTCTGTTGGGCAGATGATGCCCAGGGTTCAACTAAAGCAAACTGAGCACAGTTTCCTACTTGGATGAAAATAAATGGTAACCCTTCCTTCAACCAGTCTCATCACACCCGCTGTGGAGACGGCTTGTTTGCATTTTCACTTTTTTGCAAAGCTACATTTACACAGAAAGTCAAATATTTCCCAACGAGAGTTGAAAATCCAATTGTGCTGCTTCAAGTTCCCTCCTGGGTGTAAAAACTCAAAGGCAACATTTTCAAAGCGAGGCTGTGTCAAGTGGTCAAACATGAATGTCATTTGTCACAGTTTTAGTGTTTGGATTCAGTTTTGGAAGCTTGTAAAAAAAAAAAAAAACCTCTATAACTAAAGAAGAAAACTGTTTTCTTTGGCCGCAACTTTGTCATATTTTATTATTAAGACTCGGCTATCTGCAACTCTGATTTAAAAACATAAGTATTGGCCGTCAAATGTTCTTGAACTGGCCCATCCGAGTGTACATAAAAAAGAGATTTCAACAAAAACATCCAAACTACAATATTTTGTTTTCACTTTTGGAATGCATGCCCTTTACGTGGCCCGACAGCAGATTCTTCAACGCGACCTCTACTTCAAACGTCAGCGTACATCAAGGGGATCAACATACTAAGCGAGGCCATGACCAGCTTGATTAAAGCACGATAGGACGAGGTGCAGAGACAAGTGTCATGTGGGGAAAAAAAAAGAAGAAAAAAGACGACTCAGAGTTCACCTCCTAACAAAAAACACAAGGCATTAGTTTCCTTAATTACACTGCGATAAGGCCTGGAACTCCAAAAGTGGTTGAGGAAAACATTCAAACCAGGTTGATCATCAAAATAAACAGCACACGAAGGTCTGCATGTGTGATCTTCACCTAAATCCACAGCTTCAAAGGTTGCCTTTTAAAAGTGGAGTCACCGTGATGCTACTCCATAACTTCAGAATTCGTCCCTTGTCCTCAGTCCCGTAGCCAAGTGCAGGCTGTTTAAAGGCAGTTTTTCTTTGGGTGATGTCCATTAAGTGCATTAACATTATTGCTACCAGAACAATACAATGGTCCTCAGTGGTGCCACAGTGGAATGAACGCTCCTTTAGTCTCAAATATAAACAATATCATACAGTATTTAATACTAGTGGTACATCAACAGTTCATCATTGCTTTGTACATGTGTATGGGTGTGTGTGTGTGTGCATCTAAGACACTGGACAGCGGTGAACAAATGTTCCTGCTCATAAAACTTTTTGATAAACTTCATAAGAAATGCGACTGAAAGTGAGTCAGAGACTTCATGAGACATCTTAGATGAAGATTAGGGAAAAATATACCAGACGCAATTTCATCCAGATCTTCAAAAAGAAGAAGGAATTAAATCCTGCAGAGAGGAGTTTTCTTTTTTTTATATACCAGAGCTTTTGATTTTCGTGTGGTTCACATTACGGAATGAACAGTGCAATAAAACAACAAGGACGTTTGCCTTTTCCTTTGTTTCTACAAAACCACAGTTGTCCTTTTCGTGTATTCATTTTTCTCTCTTTCCCTCGAGTTCTTTGTTTTCTTTTAGTGGTTGAATTGCATGTAATGACACCATTAAAGCAGACGATCTCTGTGTCTAATTTTTCGTATTCTTTTCGGATGTTGCTCCTTCTTCTTCTATGCAAACACGGTGCCCCCGGATATCGGTTCATTCCGCCGTGTGCCGGAAACAGGGATTTACGGTGTCTGAAACCGATTGGTCCTTACATTAAGGTAGACTTAAGGCCACAAAATCGAGCTTCAAAAGAGTTTAGAGCTGGACTGAATCATGCGTGTCCCCTGCTCTGAGGTCACAGCTGTGCCGCCGGACACATAAAAGGTATGAAAGATCTTCTGGTGCTGCTCTTCGGTGAGGCTTCAGAAGGTCTCCAAGCTGCAGGTGAGTGGTAACCAGCACTGACGTGCTCGTGCTGCAGGTCTGAGGCTCAGCATTGTGTGTCGGTTCATTTGAATGAGTGTGAAAAAGGCGGACGAGTGGGCCTCAGCGGAATTACAAACCGCCCCCCCCCCCCCCCTCATGGGTTGTCTAAAAATGCAGGAGATTTAAGGCTACGGGTGCGGTACAAATCCTAGAAGGTGAAGCCATTGGTCGGATTCTTCTACATGGAGTGGCTGTCATGCTCCATCGGCTCGTCGGGGAGGCTGGAGGGGGGGGGGGACACACACGTGAGGAAGGGAAACATGAATGGTGAAAGTGTGTGTTGTTTTTTTTCATGGTTGCACGACTGGTTCTGTGTGTCTCTCACCTCTGGACTCCCACGGAGAGCGAGGCCAGAGCGTCCACGGCGTCGGCCTCCTCACAGTCTCGTCTCTGCGCGGACAGACAGGACAGACCTACTGATCCGCTGTGGGCCTTCACACTCGGCCAGTACTGACCTGCAACAAACACACACACACAGCGGTTACTGGTGATCTCTGGCGACAAAGCGAGGGATCTCTTCTTATCATGCGGTGAGTAACAGGAACACTTTGAACTATACAATAGTTTTTTTTTAAAAACAGTTTGTGGTTAATGGTTATTATTTCGTTTTCGTCTGTCGCAGAGTCCACCTGTCGATTGCGTTAGTAAGGAGGAGGAGGAGGAGGAGGAGGAGAATGAACATGATACTTGGGGACTTTTACAGGATTAAATAAACTTCAACATGTGGACAAAAAACAATAGTTGAATGACATATGAGCGCTGCTCACTTTGTATCTGTATGACGGCCTGCAGTGAGCGGACAGCATTAGCGTTGGGCTTCTGGAGCAGGACTTCTTCTGGCAGTGGGTCCTACAGGACAGAAAAGCGGCCATGAAGACCAGCAACGTTATTCTTTCACTCTTTCAGTTGTTGGTTAAGAAGTGAGTGAAGAAATACGGTTAAAAGCAACAAGAAAATACTTCTATTAATTTTCCAGCCAATGAGAGACAGAAATGTTAACGTAAAGATGCAGGTTTTCTAACAGGCAATTGTACAATATACTACTACGAGTCGAAACTTTATTATGTACCATATAAGGACAAACGTGAAACAGATAGGTAGACATCTAAAGAGAACTCCGTTACCCAGCGTGCCTCACCTGTGTGTCCAGGAGTGCACCGACGCAGGCCTCAGATGCATCGCAGATAGCGGTGAGGTCATGACCTCCCTCCAGAGACAAAACCAGACGACCCCCTGCTAGAGACATCAGCTCGCGGGTCATGTGACTGAAACCTGCGGTCGACAAACACATGCAACACGCACAGAAATGTTACTCCGTATGAATCAGAATAAAGTCACCACTTACTGCAGAACAAAAACGAGTTTAGCTATACTTTCCAATAGCCTGTAAAAACAACAAATGTATATTTTTACCTTGTGGATCCTCCCGCAGCAACAAACCAACTACTAATTTACTATAATTATGGTGACGCAGCGAGGTACGGTGGAAGGCACAACTCCCGCTCTTTGGTCCGCGCGTGACACGAGCTGTAATAATCTATTTTTATCTAAACACCCACGGGATCATGAAGAAGAGTTGCTATTGGTCCCCCTCGCTAAGGACGGGAGGAGAGACTGTGCAGTCGGCGGTGGAGCCCCGTGCTTACATTTGGCGGAGACCTTGTACCCCCCGAGGAGAGCGGGGTTTCCCTCGGCGGCATCGAACCCGGCCGACACCAGCACAAAGTCCGGAGAGAACTCCTGTGCGATGGGCATCACCACGGACCTGTGGAGACACAAACACAAGGCCGCTGTAAATCCGTCTGTGCTGATGCCGTGTACAACATATTAGATCCTACTGGTTGGGGGGGTCAAAGGTCGACGCAAGTCATTTATTACTTTCACCACTACGCATGCTAATGGCAGCCTGCAGTGTTTTGCCACGGAGCATCTGTTCCACTGCAGGTTTGTGCGATCATAACGGCGTTGTTGTGTCATAACAAAACAAGTCTTTACTATATGGTTGAACTGAACGAGTAGACGAAGGAAAGGAGAGGAAACTAGGATACCACAGTAGCGACATGGAGATCACTCAGAGGAGTTGACATTTAATCATTATAACGGCAAATTCGTATCCGTGTTGGCAAAGCAAAGTGTATTTGCGTTGAAGAGGAGAGAAAACAGCAGGAGGAAAGTGGAAGAACACGCACCAGAAATACGCGCCAACACACCGCCCATGACTTTGCACTAGAAGCTGTGGCCGTGGATTCATACGTTAATAAATCACTGATGGACAGACTTTAATTTGTATATATTTTTGTCCGTTTGCTCATGAAGGCTGCCCGAAATATTCAGCAAACTGTAGCCAGCTCCAAATCAAAATGCATTTCCAAACTGGGCCGTCTCCTGGAGATGACAAATACACACGATCAAATCGGGAAAAAAGTCATTAGCGTGACAAGTGTAACCGCGGTTTGGCTGATTCCACACTGTGCGTCTCAAGCAGCGGACAAAGGACTTTTGTTTCTCTGCTGAGCGAGCCGCTTTGAGTAATACAAGACTGCTCAACAAAGTCAAATTGTTTTGTCGGCTTCGTGCTGTAGCTGCGAGGTTTGCTTAGTGTTATTGTTGTTAGGAAGAGCGAGCGTAGCTGTCCCGGCGAAGGAGGGGGCCTCAACTCTGCCGCACGGTGCCGTCGGCCGTGTTCAAAGCCAGAGTGTGTGAGTCTGTTTCCCATTAGAGGCTTGTCACTCTCCTCACGTCATTGACAACACAGAGGAAAAGAGGAAAAACAGTCCATCTGGGATCCATTTACCTTCATTATTCTGCCTGGGGACCTCCCCCCCCCCCACCCCCCCTTCTCTCTCTCTCACACACACACACACACACACAATAATATATAACCGCGCGCACACGCACGTATCCCAACACATACTGCTGTCATGACTGCATGCAGATGGACAGCATGAGCTCATAGACAAAAACGAGGACACGCAGTGATTAAACGCATTCCGGCATTCACACGCAGACACACAAAGACGCACAACGACGCACAAAGACGCACGCGTACGTATGCGAACTCCCGCACGGAGAGTAATCCCCCCGTGTCAGCGCGCTGCTGCTGAAGCGAAGCTTTGAGTCATTTCTATATTTCCTATTTTCCTATCATAGTCACGTGGGCGTGAAGAAAACGTCTCCACAGAAAACACACAAACCGCAAAACCCAACCCCGCCTCCCCTGTGGACCCATTAAAGCAGCGCGCCCCCCCCCACCCCCGGAGAGAGAAACTACAGACAAGCTAATGGAAAGATGGAGGAAAGGAGGGAAGGCGGCGACGCTTATTAAAGATCAATCAAGGCAGGAGAGGAAGAGGGAGAACGTGTGCGTGTGTGAGCGTGGGGGGTGATAGTGAGGGTTGGGGTGATGGAAAATAAGGGGTCGGAGGGAGTGAGGGGGGGGCTGAGAGTGAAGGATAAGGTGAAAATGCAACAAAGCTTCCCCTCTGAAGTTGTAGCTCTCACCAACTTCACCCATAAAATGTATTGTATTAAATGGCTTTTTTTCCACTAGTCCGTTCAACATTGGCCAACATTATTAATTAAAAAAGCGATGGGTGGGAGGTGGGGGTCTTTTAGATTTGGACGCTATGAAAGGAAAAGACCCTGTTTGTGAGTTGTTACAGCAAAGTGCCGACACATTACACTACAAAGAGATCATGTGGACCGGCAGGCTAATTGTCATAATTGTCCATAATTCTGACAAGAAGTTTCCTATCAGCTGAAAACACAAGCAGATATTATTTCTCATTTAATGTGGTGCAGTTCTGCACCTTTTTGCTCCTACCAAGAACAACAACAAGAACAACAACTGATATTCGATGTGATATGGGCTGTACAATTAACCTGCAAAAGTGAAGCCAATGTAGAAGCACCTTGAACGTCCCTCTGCTGACCAGCAGGGGGCGACTTCTCTGGAAAGTCAGATTGAACGGTAGTTCAAAAAATGGTCCTCCTTCTCGTTTGATTTATTACCTCAGTAAACATGTTTATGTTCTTACGGTAACTTCTGTTTCCTGGTGGCAAAAAGCCAAAATAGAGACATTGGAAATGCTGGACTCGACTTTAAACTGGCTTGTAATGAGGCGGCATCTGCATGTATCCAGCTAGACATTTATCTTTTGTATACAACGTATTGTAATTCGGATACAAAGTATATTTTTTGAGTGAGGGCAAAAAACTTGGGCAACTACACCGGCCGCACTACACCTCTGGTTTAAATTATTATCGTAGGAAAAGCTGTTGTTCTGCTCCACAGAAAGGTCAGAGGTCAGGGTCAAAGAGGCAGTCTCGGAGCTTGCAGGAAATCAGTGTTTTGCGTAGGAGCACTGAAGGAAGGAAGGGCAGTCTCTTTGAGCATCGGGGTCAGTGCTATTGGAATAAATCTCACGTTGGTTAAGTGATCTTGCGTATTAATGGCAGTTGACAGGAAGTAATGAAAGGAAGTCGATCATCACAGGGGGGAACCGCTTATTTTAACATTTCACTAGTGGAGAATCAGGTCCACCATCTGATTGAGGTTCGTATCTGAAGCTGACAGGCAAATACTTTCCCCTGTGTTAAGAACAGCTGAAAAAATGGTTAGCCGGGATCTTCTTTGTTATTTCCTTAATTTAAGAGGTAAAATGTGTAGACTATGTGGACATGTGTTTCTGGTTGCTATACTTATTGCCAAAAGAAGTATTAGAACTATAAACACTTAATAACCGGGGAAAGAATAATATAATATAATCTCACTCTGATCTCTGCCTTTTTTTAATCAAGTCATAAACACAGGCGCGAGACATCAGGCTTCATTGCCAGTTTCCTTGTGGTTCGATAAGCCAGACAACCAAAAGACCCACGCTAGTGAAACTTTATTGGTGCCAAACAACTCCCACGTGACAATTATCCAACCCACGGGCAGGAAGCAACGACGCGCAGGCGGTTCAACAACGGGCCCGCAGACCGTTTTACTGCAAAGCATCTGAAGTTACTGAAAACACGGAGCACCAGACACATGCTCAACAAATGAGAAAGATTAATAATACGCAAGAAGTACGTCAGAGGCCTTGTGAGGCCGAGCCTGCGACCCACTGAGGTGTGTTCTTTGTGGCTCAGTGTAAAGGAAAATGTATTTATTTATTATTATTTATAATAATAAAAACTGGAGCACAGCTGATGGCTAAACCAACTTTTCTGTATGTCCCATCTACTAGATTCACCATCCAAGACACAAAGCTCATCTGGATCTGGATTTGTTTGTATCGGGCTAACCGGAAACGCATTCTGAAACGCAGAATATTTTCATCTGATCCATCCTGAAGAAAGAAGAACATACTGTAAATCATTGGCAGGATACCACTTATGTGAAAATGTGTGCTAAATTGGATGCCCAGATGTTGAATAATAAGTGCAGGTGCAGGGAGGAGGAGTCACAGCACGTACGACAACAATGGGAATCACACATCCATAAAAGGGACTTGAGCAGAGCGGTGCTTGTATCTACCTGAATGCAGCAAGGTACTCAGCGTCCCCCATGGGCGGGTCCAGTCCTCCCGTCCACGCCACGTTCACGTTGAAGCCCTCGCCTGCTCCAGAACCAACCTAAACCCCCAAATGCACGTTTGACATTTCAAACTAAAGCGCAGTCGTCAAGTGTCAGCCTGTAATAGTATCACGTGTAGACAATAGTCTACGACGATGACTGGATGTCACCCACCTCAGCTGGCGACCCACTGCCAGGGAAGAAGTTTCCGTCGTCATAGCGATGGAGCGAGATGTAGAGAACGCTGGGGTCGCTGTAGAAAACTTCCTGGGTGCCGTTGCCATGGTGAACATCCTAGCGGCAGGATAAAGGGAAAACATAGTTTAAGTTATATATATATATTAGTTTCATTAATATAAACAACAGGAATTAACGAGCCGACTTACCCAGTCAACAATCAGGATCTTGCTGACGCTGAGCCTGTGTTGGAGCTTCTTGGCAGCTATGGCCACAGAATTAAAGTAACAGAAACCCCTGGTAGACACAGATGGTGAGGATGAGACGGACACTTCAGCAAGAAACTAAAGGACTTTGCCTGACAAAGAGAAATGCTGGATGTCTTTTCTCGTTCTTGTGTTTGCTGAATTGCAAAATGGGTGCAGTGCAGTCACGGGACTATTGAGAAGGCTCTGTGTCTCTGGATGAGCTCTGGCTGTGTCCATCTATCAATCCTCCTCATCTCTTCCCCGGCTGTCTCTCTATCACTTCATAAATACTCTCCGCAGAGAGGCTGCTGACACTGCAGCAAGAACAAGGAGACACTCTCCAGTCAGGCCGGGCGTTTGACTAAAGGTACACACACGCGCGCAGACACACACTTACATTGGATTAGAGGGGTCCGCGTGATGCCCTGGCGGCCTGACCACAGCAAAGCCATTCTGTGCAAAAGAAAAAAGACGATGCTATTCATTAGGTGTTTTGTTGCCTGTGAAGAGCATTAAAAAGGTACGGTTCCAAAGTTATACGCTTTCAGGAATCAGGAATCAGGAAACATTTATTGCCATAATATGTTAGACATACAAGGGATTTGACTTGGCGGTTGGCGCGTAACAGGAGACAGTACGACACTAGACGACGAGACAACAATGCACGAGGAATAGAATTGTTTGGTGGAGCTGCGGGGGATGGAATCAGGACATTGGGGGATGGAATCAGGACATTGTCTATCAAATCTGCAGTAGAGCTCACTCAGCTCGCCTGCCAGGCGGAGGTCATTCATGATGGAACGTAACAATTTTGGCACACAAAAATAAAGCAGCCGCGGTCCTTTCAGGCGCGATACAAAACCTGTCGTTTGGAAATCGATAAGACAGGTTTCTCCTACAAAACAAAAGCTGGTTTCCTGGTTCGTGTTGGTTGGATCGGTGCTGCTTCCATTTGTAGCAGGAACATCTCTTGATGATAATATTGTTGGAAAATCTATGCTATCCATAAACAAATTTCATTATTGCTTTATATTTAGTCTAAATCAACTGAATACATGATGTAGAACAGAAAAAAACAGTATGAAGGCCGTGTTTTTGCTCTTTAAAAAGAAACTAAAGTGAATCAGATTCACCTTTATCGTCTCGGTGAGTAAAGCTCAAAACATTAAGTTAAACATTTCATGAACACAAAGGATCAAATGCGCTACTTTTGTCAATATGAAGCCATTCGGCCAAGTTGTCCTTTTAAATGAGCATAATAATAATATATTCCCTTATGTTGTCTGAGCTGGAGCACCGGTAATCTCATGTAATGGTTGTGTACAACCAGTGCTCAGTGTCGACCTTAGTATGAAGTCTTATGGTGGTGTTCATTCTCCGCACACCCACCTGCCTTCTTTTACACTGCCTTGTTTCTCTGTGTGGATAGACGCTGCCAGCTATAAATACCATTAGGTAATTATATTGTCTAATTGACCAATTTGAAAAAGAGAACAATACTTTCCCGTTGAGTTTAAGTGGTTTTAAATCACTGTGAGGAGGAAAAGGAAGTACGTTATGTCCAAAATATATTGTGAAACCCACTAATCTTTGCGGTGGGTCAGGCCGTGTGAGGCAGGGCACTCATCTCAAGAACGTCCCAGTTACTGACATCACTTTTGCTTTTGGTCTACAAGCCAGTGTGGGAAAAGCTGCCATTTCTCATCTTCTCACATGATAAACCTGCGTAAATCACTCACAGGTTTCATTATAGGAGCTGTCCTCACATGTGCTTGTTAAATCAAAACCTCTCCTTTAACTATTCATTCACATATTGTTTTGGAGCTAACCTCCTATGGAGTCAAAAAGAATTATGTCGCAATATATTCCGCAACGATTCATTTGTAGGGTAAATTCTCCTCCTCACTCCATCGCCTGGATCAGACGGTGCTTAAAGCAAGGCGAGCGACTTAAACAGACACGGAAGGAAAACAACAGAATGCCGTTTTTATAAGTGTCTCACCTTCAGCTCTCCTTTGGCCACTCTGCAGGCCAGCTCCACCACGCTGCCCGCCGCCATGCGCGATGCCGTGGAAGTGTGCGACTCATTCCAGATGGTGTCATTATCCACCTGCAAGGTTGAAAGCCAAACGACGGAGACCAATGAGAACAAAAAGCAGAGGAAACCCTCCTGCTACCTGTTTTATGAAGCACGACTCTCTGTTGTTCCTGGTACAATGATGCTGTCACTGCTGTAATGCTGGTTCATTTCCTTTCCTTTTAACCTGTGCACAAATGGACATTGCCGTCCGTCTGGCTTGGACAATGAAAACCGAGGCATTTCTTTTATCCCCGGTCACGGACACGTTGTTCTGATTAGCTCTGCCTTGTCATGGCCCGACACGGACCGTCAAGCAAACCGAAGCGCACGGCCAGGCCAACTCTCTTTTCCTCTTTAATATCCTGTCTTCCTTGTTATTTGCTCTTTCGGGTCTTAGTTGTTATTTCTTTGAAGCAATATCATCTTTCATCAACACATTGTAAAGCTTGTATTAGGAGCTTTCTATTACAGTGTGATCTTTTCTGTGTGTGTGTGTGTGTTTGTACTTACCCCCACGCCCCCACATGGTAACATCACAAACATCCTTTGAGACAGGATCCCTTGGGAAACAGGAAAATTCAAATGAAACCTTTTAAAACATCATTCAATTACGTTTTGTTATTCTTTTCAAGAACTGTCCTCTTTTAGCCGATTCTTTGCTTTGAGGCTATTTCGCATAGATCAGGGGTGACTTTGTATAAAACATTAATGATTGCTCATTTCGATATGGGTTTTAAATTGCAAAGGAGCAGCGCTGTTAGGCGTGTATTTCACTCTGAATTCTACTTTCTTTATGTCTTATTCAAAAGCCGCTGAGTGATTTTGACCCTGCGAGGTTATTAATGGCGAGGCATTATTGATGGGGCAAAGTTTGTCATTCATTCTTTAAATAAATCAAGGACAAAAGCGTGAACTGTAGAACGTGAGTTTGAAATGGAGCTTTAGTTCTGTTATTGAGAAGAGCTGGACATCTGGAGCATCTGCTTGGTGTTGATGTTTCTGATCATATTTACAGTGCAAAGTAATGTCTGTCATGTTCACTGTTAAACCAATTAAAGGTTTTGTTAATTCAAAGCGTGATTTGGCTCAGATTTGGGAACACGTGGCATACCGGCCAGTTTGCGGTTATCCAGTTTGAGTCTGTTGAGCGGGTTGGTGCCGTAGAGCAACACATGGCGCTCGGTGTGGACCGACTGCAGCTCCTCCATCGTGGCTTTGCGACCTCGGATAGTCTGTACGAACAGGACAATGTACAACACACGGTGAAGAATACGGTTAAAAACAGAGAAAGCTCTATTGTGCTCTCGTCTCCGTAAATTCAACCTCTCTACGATCGCACGGACACATGAAATGTAATTTCTGAGGGTCAGATGGGGCTGAATGTGTGTGCCGTGCCTCACGTACCTCACACTGTCCCCTCAGGCCTCTCTCCTGTAGCCTGGACCAGATGCTCTGTATCCTCCCGGCGTGCTCTGGGTGACTGCTGTTGTCTCCACATGTACACTGGTGCCTCAGCATCTGAGAATCATACACCAGGCCTGCATGCACACACGCAAGCAGAAGATACTATTTGATCAGCATTTCACCCAGAGAACATCACTAGGAGACTGCTGACGCTGACATTTCACTACTTTTCTAAAAGGTCACGTTTAAAAAAATATATAATAACACTTATTGCCACACTATACTATGTGTCTTACCTCTTAACCATCTTATTTATCACTCAGAATTGTTTTGGCGGGTGTTGCCATTGAACTATGCTTGCGAGGAAAGCTGCCCTTTGAGCACCAAAAGAAGAGTTTGTTACCGTCTGAACGGTTTACTTCTTTACCTGTTCCAGATGAGGTCGCAGCCAGACACTCATAGGGGTTTAAACACACAACATTAGGTTTTGGACTAACATCTACAGCCTAACTATTTTTTATCTTCTATTCACGTTTTAAAGCTTTGAGGTGCAGAGTATCTTTATTTTGGTTTGTTTCATTCCTTCATTCATTTTTCGCTCTGCTGGTCAGTGCATGGTGCTAAATACTGGGAACTAAATATAATTTGTTATTAGCAACATGACTGAAAAATTAGAAATAGATGTGGGCACACCATGCAACAAAGGTTTTCCCAGCCGGCCTCCAACAAAGCATGTTTTCTTGACACAGTACGGTCAGCGTTTGAACCCCTGAGCCGGCATCCTCAATGGTAAATACCATTGACTCACCAGTGGTGAAGCGTGGTTTGCTGCTGCTATCCTGTGCGGCCAGGGTCAGGGGCTTCTCAGGCAGAATAAGAGAGGTGGAGGCTGGGGATGACTGTGTACGAGACAGGGGCCGATGGCCTCCCAGCCCACTGCCAACCCCACCGCCACCCCGCAACATGGGTACTGCCAGGGTCTCCATTTGTCGATGCAGCTGCTGCAGCTGCTTCTGCTGTTCCCATAGCAACGACTGCAGTTAGAGTGAGGGGACAAGAGGTGAAACATAGTTGACATGACGTATCAATAACAAATTAACACAGTGAAGAGAAGAACCGCCTTATTTGGTCTTTTTCAAAACCATGGAAAACACATTGGTAAACATCTGTGCTCACATGTGGTATGCAGATGTACATCTCTCTAAAGTCCTATATTAAGGGTTGAAAGCCACAGAACTTCCTCCACTGTACTGTCAATAACATCTGAGATGTTTTTATTTAGCTGCCCCCAATCGGACCTGTGCCATCACAAGCAGTCTCATTCTGCCAGTTTCCACTTGAACTGAAGGTCATTCTTCATTGTAATGTCTTCCTTTGAGCCTGACTCGTAGCCGGCTGATTATGTGGTTTGATTAGTGACCAACACATTTTCAGAAAGAGAGGTACTTAAACTTACTTGTCAAACCTCAAAACCGTGCAACGGAAACTATCCCAACATACAAGAGTTAGGCCGCCCCCTACAGCACGAAGAACTTGCTTTCTCTCTGTGTGTATCGCCAGTGTGAAAGTGTGCTTTCCAACCTGGTTGAGTATGAGCGCATGTTGCAGGTTAAGTTGCTCTTCGTGGTTCTTGGATGCCGTTGGCTCCGCCTCCCTCAGTGCCTCCGCCCTCACTCTGCTCTGGTATGTTGGCTCTGTGGGAGACGTGCCGCCGCCGTCCTCCGAGTCCATGTCCTCAGAGGGGATCTGGTGCAGTCTGGGCTTCTCGCTCGACTTAGACATCAGCTGCACAGGCACATACACACACGTTGAAAACACCATGTAGACAAATTTGCATGAGAGACAGACAGCAGAATAAAAAGGGCCCATCCAGACACGCAGGTGTCTGGCCAAACTCTTCTCCACTCTCACATTATGGAACTATTTACCACCCATAGAGTACTGCAGGCCAGATTTAGAAGATTTAAGGAGGTGTGGGAAATGTTGGGAAAGCCATCCATCCATCTTCAAAGGGCTTATCCTGCACACAGGGAGTCAATCCCAGCCAACTTTGGGCGAGACCCCGAATTGGTTGCCAGCCAATCGCAGGGCTGACACGGAGACAAACAACCACTCGCACTCACATCCACACACCTACGGGCAATGTAGAGTCACCAATTAACCTGATCCCCAGAGCGCGTCTTTGGACTGTGGGAGTAACCGGAGAGAACACACGCAACAAGGCTGCAACGTCAACCTATTTAATATCACACAATTCAAGTTTCAGGAATAATATTCTTTTTAGGGTTTTTATTTAGAAGTGTTGGGCATTTAAACTGAGAGGGATAGTTCATTTTATGTTATTAGTGTCTAGTTAATAGATACGTCATGTATTACAATCGCCATAACTACAAGACGGAATACAGCCAAAACAAAAAAGGGACCATTAACACAACAAACACATTTCGGTCCAAGACAATGCTGACTGTGTATGACTGTGTGCCTTCACGTCTCTCTACCTTGCCCAGGTGAGTTTGCTGTTTGAGCCTCTCAAGTAGTTGCGTGTTGTGCTGCTGATGGAGGAGATGTGTGTGAAGGGTCCGCGGGCTCTGGGGGAGGGGCTCAGAGCGTGTCCTGCTCAGGGGCTTGTGAGGATGTGCCCCTCCAGGGGTGAGGTGGTCTAACTGGGGGGAAAACTGTAGCTGGACGGGGTCCAGGCCTGAAACTGGTCAGAGGCGGAGCAGAAAAATGATTAGTTCCTGTGAGCAGAGAGAAAGTAACATGCGCGCACACACACACACACACACACACACACACACATACACATTTTATTTTGTCTCACAAAAAACAAACAAGAGCTACAACAATGGCCTGATAACTTGGTTGAATTGTTTCTAATTTCCAAAAATCCATGCGGCCGTCAAAGAAACCTGTGTTATTCTGAATGTAACCACTGGGTGGCGCTGTACCATCGTTGGCAATATATAAATATAATAGGTTTAATACGTCAATCAGGTACAGGACGTCAAAGTATGTCACTTATTCATGTCTGTGCATGTCCATTTCTATATGTCAGCGTCAGCGTCTCACCAGTGAGTAGCGGAGTGTGTACCAGTCCAGACGGTTCCAGGATGATGACAGGCAGGTGAGGGTTTAACTGCCCAACCTGGTCCTCTCTGCTCAGGGGGAGGAAGACCTGCGAGCCCCCGGCTGTAAGCACGGGCATCCTGCTGACTCTCAGAGAGGACAGCTCCCCTTCGGTCTGCACACGCACGCATACGCACATGCACACGCACACACACACACACACACACACACACACACACACACACACACACACACACACACACACACACACTCTTATTCAGCATTTACAGCAACAGGTGACATTCTATCTAACAGATTAACAAGGCCGACATTACATAAATACATTCCACTATGTTGACAAAAACGGATAATTTCCAATGATGCGAGATGATTCGTCGAAGCGGCGTGATTAGAAATATATAGATATATATAGCGTTATATATTAATATTTAAATTTAAATATACAGCAATCCAACCGCCCAAAGCTCCAACGTAATAGTGAAAGCTGTACTTCATTTCCTTCTTTCATTAATGTAGTAAAATGATGGGATGTTTTTTGTGAGTTATTCAATTACTTATACATCACTTATTGTATAGTTTGATCGGATTAAATCTTAAAACACATCTCCTTAAAGGGAAAACTCACAGTGATGATGTTTTATCAGTGTTGATACTAAATGTAGTCAATTCAAGCAATTCATTCCTCAGTTTCTGCTCTATATCCTACATGTACCAGGATGCATTGCGTGGGTAAAGTTAGTATTTAGTAGTAGTGCATTAGATTAGTAACAGCAGACTTCTCTCGCCTGCCCCGAGGAAAAGACAACGGTGTAAGAATGCTGCAATGACAGACGCGTGTTGCAGTTCCGTGTTTACCCTGGCGTTGGCTGGTAGTCCCAGGGTGATGGTGGGCAGCGTGGAGGGACTCTGGATGGTAAAATTAGCTAGAGTGCCATCTCTCAGCAGCAGCCTCTGCGCCTGGAAATGCCAAACACAATTAACAATTAATAGTGCATATATATTTAAATCGGTTTCGAATTATAGTTCTAAACACTACGTGATTCGGGACAAGAGAAATCCCCGCAAACACTTAAGAGCAGCGCTGGATATGCATCCCATAATAACAACGTTGTGCAAGGTTGTGTGGCGTCTTGACACCGGAGAATGATTAGTTGGGCATCAGCAGCAGGTGTGACACGAGATTAAATCAACTATGCATAAACGGCCGACCAACTCAGCGCTGCCGTGCTGGTGGCAATGCTTTAAACATGTCATTACTCAGCATCTCGGCACAGCTCATGTACATGAAACTAATTCTCTTTTTTCTAATCAAAGCGCGTGCATACAGGTTTAAAATGCAACTCTTCCAACCACTAAAAGATAAGAGCCAGTATGAGAGGCAGAAAGGAAGCACATCCTAATTTTTAATCCACAGGTACTGTACTTCCTCTAAACATCTATACAAACGGTCTAAATTGGTCTTAAAACATGTTTATTTATTATATGTCAGCTCATCTTGAGGTTTTAGTTTGTTTAACTTGAGCAATGTGGTTGGATCCTGTGTGTGCTCACCTCATGCGAGAGGCCGCCTGCAGATGGCAGTAGCCCATTCTCATTGGGCAGACTGTCATTAGGAGAACTACAACCAGAGACCGGCGTGCTGCTGCTGCTGGGGGACGAGTCTGGTGAGAGACAAGCAGCGCGGGACTTTAGATTATGCATCTTCTTCACCATATTGACATTAGAGCATATCAGTGAATCATTTGCTTAATCAATCATAGAAAGAAATAATTAAGACCTTTGTTTACCTCACTCAAACAATTGCATATAAAACCAGAGCATTTCCACTCTCTCATTTATGTGTGTGTGTGTGTGTGTGTGTGGGACTCTAATTACCCAGTGCGTCCGGTACTCGATGCTTGACCGTGGCCGGGGCGCTCTCTTTGCGGGTGAGCGGGCTCTTGCGGGTGTTCAGGTGTTTCTTCAGCTTGTGTTTCACCTTCAGATTTGGCTCGGACGCTGACAATATGGAGCAACATTGGGAATGTTTATGCAATTACACGGAAATGGTTTAATACGTTCGGCTGCTGCCTGTAGTGCGACCAAAAGAATTCAACATGTTTCCATAATCTGTAGCAGGAAGCTACTTCTAAAGCACATGTGTGGCTACAGCAGCTAAATGGATTGCAGTTATATTTAATATTATGTTTTAGACTTGCTTTTCCAAATCGGATATGTCTGAATCTCTTCAAAGTGAAAGGTCAATGGACAAAACAGTAGATACAATTGCAGTTGGCGAGTGTGACTGATACGCAAACTGACCGTACACATGGACAAAACCCATGACAGGCTGAGCTCATGGAAGGGGAAATGAATCTCATTATTGGTTTTTAAATGCCATAGTAGCCTAAAAAAAGAACTGATTCCACCTGACTTGATTTTGGTGTAAAAAGCTGGTGGACAAAACGTGACATTCAAATGAAAAACTAAAAATTCCTGCATCACGTTTGTTCTACCTTGCTGCCGTGGCCGTGGATGTCAGATGTTTTACCTGCTCGGCGTAGCGGTGTCCCTCCTGAGTGGTCGGGAGAGGGCTGTGGCGAAGACAAGACTGTGTGGGAGGGCGCACTGGGGTCTGGGCCCAGCTTTCTGGAAAAACAAAACACACAAACATTAGCGGCTAATCATCACACCAAACATATAAAACCCAAATTCTAGAGCCGAGTCAAATGTTTATTGAAATAATTATAAGACATGTAGTATAATCGATGCATTGCATGATGCACATCACGCGGCCTTTGTGTATTTTGTCTCACCTGTATGCTACAGGAGCTGCAGTCAGAGTGTTGGGGTTGTTTCTCTCCAGCGCCGCCTGTTTCTGTTTCTTAAGAATTACTTCCTGGAGTTTCTGTTTAACGGCAGAACTGGCCACTGCACCTGCCAATCAATAACACAGACAACCATTAAAAACTCAAACGGATTCATTATTAGACGTGGAGAAAGGGGAGACAGTGCCGTAGAGGCTAAACAACCGTGTGGAGAGTTTCTGCAGATACATGTAGGCCGTGCATGGTGCAGAGTGCGCATGCATTGTCTGTGATGCATGGGAAGGTCGCTGGTTTCTTTGACACCATGTTTGCTGATATTTCTGTGTGTGTGCACATGGAGGTGACAGGAGGTGCTCCGAGTGATCAAGTCAATATTGACCCAGTGACTTTGTGTGGCCAGACCTAAAGCTATAATTGACTCCACTGTTTCAGCCTCACTTATCAGGTTATATTTAGCTCCTTGTCTAAAAGCAAACAGTTTTGAAAATAGAAAAACCCTGTTCAATAAAGATAACACTGATCTCATGCAGCGACTTTACACCCTGGCCACAATTAGCAAAACCGGGCTATTATTACGTTTATTAAGTTGTGAATACATATATTTATGAATCGCTAACTATGAATGCACGTTTGTAATAACATGTGGGAGTGAAGGCGAGTGAATTGACTCACTCTGTTGACTCTTGTCTTTGTGCTTCAGCTGCTGCAACTCCTGTTGTTTCTCGTGGTGCTCCTGCTCCTGCCTCCTCTGCTCCATATTAAACTAACCCCCCCACCAAACAAACACGTTCATATTATATGCAAATGCTCATGTAAGGTCCATTTTTAAGTGAATCTAATGTATGACATAGTATTGTTGACGGTCTGTTTGGCGTCCTTTACCCGGATGTGCTGATGCAGTTGCTGTTGGGAGAAGGAGGTGCGAGGCTGAGGGGAGAACGGGCTGAGGCGTAAAGGCGGGTGCAGCGGGGTGAGAAGCGCCGTGTCCGAGCCAGGGCGCATCCCCCGCTCTCCCACCCGTAGGTCCATGGGATACGAGGCCGCGCGCGACGCCGACACTGCCACCGAGGACTCTGGGAAAAGAGAGGGGGGGGGGGACGTCAGTTTTTTCATCCCCATAAGAGCAGTTGATGAACACAAAACTCCCCGCGAGTACATGTAAACGGTTTGAGAGAAAAGATACACCAAAAATACACCAACATTATATTTCGTAATAGGAAAAAACGGCTTAACCGAATTAACCCTAGTAAACTAGCAAACTAGGCTTAATTCTATTTATCCAAATAACACTGGACTGTAGCTTTAGAGTTTAGGTGACAAAACATTGAGCTTATTTCCTCTACTTAGCAGCCACACCTGTTACCTGGAAAATATATTACATTCAGCAAGGAAAATAATATGAAAAGAATCCTAACCCACATGGGTGCCGTGTTTCAGTTTGCTTACATTAAATAGGTTTTGCTCACAATGACAAGTAAAGCAAACGACATCACAACGTGATCACCTGCTTGGTGTTCTCAGAAAGGTTGAGTTTTTAATGCGGGACACTTCAACAAACGGTGCGCTTCATCAAAAATAACAATTACCACTGTGTTGTTTGCGGAATAAAAGTCGGCAGTATTGTTTATTGGGTTGATTCTGAAGTCTGATTTGTTAAAACAAACATTCGTAATTTCCAGTGAGTGGGACTTGACAGTGTTGAATTCTGTTGAAATTCCAGCACTATACATGTAAGCACGTAGTGTAAAAAGTGTACTTGAAGAAAGTGTATACTAGGTACTACTAGCTATACTGCAATGGTTGGCGTACTTTTCTACCAAAGTAGTTCATCAAACGGTTTATTGCTAATGTGAAAAGGTAAAAAGAGGAGTTTCATGCTCTCAAACCCCAAACCAAGCACCACAAGCACCACACAGAGTTCCAAATAATGACATAACCACAGTGAAACTGCAGCTGACTGCAGTGCTCGGCGGGATACCGGTTCAACCGGGACAAATTTTTCCCACACCGTCATAGCGGCAACTGTTGTCGCTCTGCAGCAAACGCTCACACGTAACAACAAACGCTCTTTAACAGGCTGAGACACCTCGACACAAGTTTGTCACAATTTGAAACACTAATAATTGTATATTTATAAATTGAACTGCTTGCTGGGTACACAACCAGCAGAAACTCTGTTAAAACACGGAAAAGAGCGATGCAGGAGCAACAACGAGAGACCCGAGATGCACCAACACAACTTGTGCCCAAAAGAGGAGCTGTGTCTGTTTGGGGAGGTTCTGATTTTGAAAAATCCAACGTGAGTTTGAAAACGATTTATTGCAAAGTTGATCGAGCTGCTGATATTGCCGCTGGATTGCCTCGAATCTAACTGCTCTCAAAAACCAATCTCAAATCAATATAAACGATAGAAACCTGTCTCACATCTTAAGTATGATCACACAGGGACAAGATAGTGAGTATACTCACACCATCTCTCATTCGCCTTCCGCGTGTCTATCTCGTAAACACAGACACACATTTCCATGCTCTTTGCATGCTGTTAGGGTTATTTGCATTGCATGGCTGAGTCAATGGGAAAAAATTGCCTCATCCGGCGCTAAAAACAAGATGTAGGAAGGGAACAGCTTGGGAAAAGGCTGAGGGTGGTTTCTGCTGGTTAGACACACGCATACTTTGTACACTCAAGCAAACAGATGCACTTGCAGATGCAAAAAAAAAAGCACTTTGACACAGAAACGCAGCTGTTAACATTCGCATACCCACATCCACATGCTGCTCAGTAATACACAGCTGTACACACAAGACAGGCTTCAGTAAACACCCGAATGCACAAAACTCCATTGACGCTTCCACCAAAACTTTAACCACACACACACACACACACACACACACACACACACACACACACACACACACACACACACACACACACACACACACACAGAGCGAGTCTTGAAATAACTTGGTGTGACATCACCTCCGTGCTGCTGCGCCTGGTGCTCAGATGTCGGGCTGCAGTGTGTGAAGTAAATGTCACTCACAGAGGGGATTGGCACGTTGCCAACAGCAGCACTGAAAATGGGTGAAAGGCAATGAAACAGAACAGAAAAGACGGATGTGCTTTTGGCATCCTTTCTACGAGCGGATGTGCGCGTACACACGAGCGTGTGAGCTTCTGCGGTCTCATTAACATCGGTGTTCGGGTTAATCTCGCGTTGCACTGCGTGCGTGCCGTGTCAGAACCCCTCCATATTAGGAGGCACGAATGGAGAGGCAGTTTAGATGCCGAACGTTGCTGGAACAGAAGTCCCTTGGCAAAATGGACCCAAACACACCCACACAGATCTAGTTGTGCACACATATTCTCTGCAATGACAGCAAGGAATAACAAAGTTATTATTCTGAGGAAGGGGAGAGGAGATCGTGCTTAAACAAGGAAACAAAGGCTGACACAGGGCACACGCACAGTGTCTCTTATACGCTGCCTCCCCTGGGTTATAAATAGCCAAACATACCCAACATTTACCTACACAGGACCTTTTGTTTCGACACAGAAACACATGCGCGCGCACACAGACACACACCCGCCCACCGTGCAACACAGTGATGTCACAGGGTTTAATAAAAGTAAAGTGCTGGGAAAAGAAACATTAAAGGGATTAAACAAAACGGAGTATGTAATATGGTTTCCTTGTTTTAATTTTATATGTGGGGTTGCATAGAGAAAAGACAGCTTAATCACATAATAACTGTTATTATGGCCATTATCGCTCAGCAAAGTTCAACTGTAATAAGTCCTCAGTATTTCAAAATGTTGAATAACTGGCTTGTGTTGATTTTACGTGGTGATCATGACGTTATTGGCTCTTTGACTCCTTGGGTAATCATTTATTGACTGGCTCTCAGACCCCATTTCATTGAAGACTTTTCCCTCGTGTCCACAAGGCTCACCACAAACCTTTCTATTTATCGGGCAACTGTGAAGCTGCAGTGAAAAGGCCGGTTTATAAAAACATTTTGGCTTTGCCGTGAAGCTCGTTGCTCCGGCCGAGGAATAGTCTCTCTGACCGCTTTAAAATAGCTGATAATGACACGTTTCCCCAGCAGGCAACATTACTTCAAGTATAGAAACCATGTCGTGGTTTAGTCTCCGGGCCTCTGCGACCACGTTAATCCCTCCACGGTCTCTCTTCTGAGTCTCTCCAAGTAATAGTAGGCTTTAATGTTTTTAGTTCTCTTTAAGAAAGATATTCCGTTACAGTTCATTACATCTGCGCGCCGCTTTCAGGGACGAACAACGCATTCTGACCCCGCGGTCGTGATTGTAAATGTTTCACTCTTTTCCATGTGAAAATAGCTGGAAAGGTGTGCACTGGATTAAGAGACAAAGCGTGAGCTCTAATGTGAACACACACACACACATTAGAGCATCCAAAATGAGCTGCATGTAAAAGCTGCAGAACATGTTTTTGTTGTGGAGGGTCAGGACGCTGCCGATATTCAGGGAAATTCAGTCGCAGGTTTGCAAGAATTCCCCTTTTGCAACTGTCATCCCGGGTGTAAATAGACCTGAGCAACCGCCTCAGTGCCGTTCGTTTTACTCTCACACTAAAACCGACAACTGGTATTTAAAAGACGTCCTTCTAGTTAGTCTTCCTAACTTTTCCATTACAAAACAAAAGCCATTTTTCACTCTTTGTGGCGATACATCTTTTCGCGACAGCAGATACATGGCTTTGCATTCTGTATCAACCCCCTCTAAACAAACAAGTTATTGTTATTGAGAACTCAACCAAATGACATCCCAAAGATAAACACGCAGAGGATGCGATGCATAACCCCAAAGACAACATTGTCATGAGGTATTGAGCACAGTGTTTTTTCTTCAGTTCTATTTCTTACTTTAGCTGAATAGCAATCGCGTTTTGTAGGGGAACTCTTCTCTCTCCTTTAACAATGCACTGTAAAGCCAGGTTTACTTTGCCGAGGAGTGTCAGTGGGTCATTATGGAAATCACCAACGACACAGTGTGGTGATACGGCACGTCTGGCCCGCTGCGATTGTGCCAATTCATGCAAGCGATTAGATCAGGGTTTGGTGTGATTGACGGACATGCTCGGTTTCTGCTAATCCCACCCTACAGATTTAATCCAACATCTTCCTCCGATGACTTTAGAGAAAAAGAAAAAGGAAAGAGGAAAAATGAAGAAACCTTGAGGAGATCAACTGAAGAGGCATCGCTCTCCCAGGAATGAACGACATCATTAGTTCCTTCCCTTTCTATATTGTTATTTTTAACCCAGTTAAACTCAGGGCTCGTCTTACAAGTTAGTCAAGGATATAAAAAGCTCTCCCTCCCCCTCCTTTAAAACGGTATCATTAAAAGAAGGAAACCAGGACGGAACAGACTGAAAAGGAGGAGAATGCAGTCAAAAGACAGGAAAGGCGAGTCGGTCGACGATCTCTGACAATCCGCAAATAGGTCACTTGGAGTGAGAGCTGACAGCCGACGCGCGGCCGCTCGCGATGGACTCTGCACTGCCGGCTTCTGGCTTTGAACAGACGCCACCTCCTTGTGTCTTGACACACGTCCAAATATAGCCGAACGCCTCCTCCCTGTTTTGACTGTGCTGCGTGAGCGAGTGTGACTAAATCACACTACAGCGTTTAGAGGTGACAGCTACTTTCAGGCGATGGAGATGTCACCACCTCGGTCTGTGAGGCTCAAAGCCCTTTTTGAGAAGAGGAAAAGAGGGTCGGGCGAGTCGCCAGCACAGTTACTAGATAGAGAAAGATGTCAGGACAGAGAAAGAAAGCTGTAAGTGTAAAGAGGGGTGAAGGAGCAGTCGGGAAAGTCAAGTGTTCTCCTAACAGCTCCATCTCTATTAACCCCTTTGTCGCTTTCTCCTCGTGCGTGGAGTAGCATGCAGCTGTGTGTTTTTGTGCAGAAGAAACGCGTCATTTGTTTCCTATTAGGGGCAAGAAAAAGGAAACTGCTTGACATACGTGGAACACCTCGACTAATGTGTTCATTCTACTAATCACTGTGTGTGTAAGACAGAGTCCGCTT